TGGTAACCATGCGGTAATTTTACACAATATTTAACACACTGTACATACTCTGCAAAAGATTGACTATTTTACAACTAAAGCCTACTCTAACAAGCTTTAAAAATAAACTAGCTCGGTCAACATAGTCAAATGCTTTTTTTTTATAGTCTACAAAACAAACGTATAATCTCTTTCTAGCGACTCTATATTTCTCAATTAGCGTTGACAGGATAAAAATATTATCTTCAGTGCTGTGATTTGTCCGGAAGCCTGCCTGATTATCACTGAGAATATTATTTGTATCAAGCCATTTCACTATTCTTTCGTTAATAATAATTGTAAAAAGCTTACCGAAACAACTATATAGGGAAATGCCACGATAATTAGCGGGGTCGTGTATGTTACCTTTCTTTAAAATTGGACAAATCAGTGACTTTGACCAGGTCTCTGGGAAATGCCCACTATTCAAAATCAAATTAAAGACCTTTGTATAACACTTGATAAGATCTTGATTACTATTTTTGAATAACTCATTTCTAAGGCCATCAAACCCGGGTTGTTTTTTCATTTTTAATTTATTTATCGCAGCTGTCACTTCCTCCGTACTAATCTCCATATCAAGTTGTACAGTATCAATATAATCTTGTCGTGTATTATCATGAGTGGGAATTTCAGAGCCCACTGTCTCGAACACTGGCGCTTTACTCAAACACTCAAAATAATTAAACCAATCTGTGTTCGAAATATTTGGGTTTGTCCCATTTTCTGACTGGGTAAGCCTACGAAATTTACCCCAAAATGAATAATCTTTTGAAAAACAACTTGATTCGTCAAAGTACAGTATACCGTTCGATTTGTCGGATCCCTATTTATTTGTTTATAAAGTTCGTTGACCTCGCTTCTCATTTCCTTGCACTCAATGTCAAACCAAGGTTTCTTTATATTTATTTTTCCCCCACGCCTTTTTCTAAAACGTTTTTTCTCTATCATTGCAGTTTTCGAAACTTTATGTAAGATATTCTCGATATCACACAGTGCCAATTCAACCCCATTTTTGTCAATATTATAATTATTTTTTTTGAATTTATTAATCTTAGCCGTTATTGCTGGTGTATTATATGTTTTGATAAAATCTGCCCGACTTTCACCCCTCAAGTCATACATTATCGCCGTATGGCTTTCAGCATCGAAGACGTTTCTATCCTGATACTTATTTCCGATTTCCTGTTCAGAAAATTCACAAAATACCACCGTTAATATTAAAGGTGAATGGTCAGAATGCCGTGTGATATCATTGACCTTAAAGTCTTTCAAAAAATCACCTGTTAACATTGAATCAGAAACCATCACGTAATCAA